AAAAAAAAAAAAAAAAAAAAAGAAAGAAATTGGCCACTAGTTAATTTTTTTTAATTAGCTAAAACCACCGACCAGTTTGCGTTCACTAACATGTGAACTACTAAGTTTTTCTTCCTCAATAAGTCATATGCCATGCAAGAGAACCACTAACAGTAAATATATTTTGTTTGTTTAATCAAAGAAAATTTCTTCCAAAGTAACACAATAATCCTATAGGTGAAAACATACAGGCTTACACATCATCGATTTGCTAAGGGATTTTTCTGTGACTGCTGCAGTTTCTGATATGATTAGTGATGTAACCATTAGCCCATAAGGTATTAACTTTCACAGAATTACTGTACCAAATTGGTTTCCAACAAATTACTAGGCAAAATAAAATAAAATGGTAAAAGCCAAGGCACCTATCTAGATAGAGTTAATCTACAACAGAACAACAACAACAAAAAAAAAAACACCTGCATTTCCAAGACTGTTACATTTGTTTATCTGTGTATGTTTTTATATGCGTGTGGTGGGCTTTAAAACAAACGGGCTTTCAACCTGGCACTTCTTTTAGGGTAGTTTTCTCTCTGAGCTCCAGGAAATATGTTGTTTACATAGACTTCATGGCAAGCATTAAGTTAGTTACGTAATACATTTCTTTTCCAATTAACATTCATGCAAGATAGAAGAATTAGCTCTCTTGAATATCAGTTTTGAAATAAAATAGACACAGATGACGAAAACTCCAGTAAGCATCCCACCATAGGCAACTCTAGAAAAACAGCTATTTCAAGTAAATTCAACAGTTTCTTTCAATATTTATAATTGGTTTTGCAAAATCATCTGAGAGGCTTTGCAAAAATATCCTAGAGTCTTCATTAGTTTAGTCATTCATTCAAAAAGTTCGCATAAAAATGAGTTGGAAACTGCCAAAAAACCAAGTGAGTACAGAACACCAACTATGTAAAGTTGTGACCTACAGATGCCATAGCCCGTTAACTCTTGGTATACATACTTCTCCCATGGATCCTGGGAGAAATACCCAACTAAAACTGATCTAGTTGCTTCTGGCAACACAACACACCATCAATTTGTTTTGACTTTTCTTAAAAAAAAATACTTAATGAAACTCGTTATTGATCAGCTAAAGCAAAGTGGCAGAAAGCCAGCACTGTCTGGACTTACTTTGTTTCCCAGATACAGAGCTGGTGCACTCCAGTAGTACCTCTGTGGCAGGGAACGCTGGGCTTCCACACTGCTGATGCTGATCTGCTGAGCTGGCTCTGAGTCATCCTGCCGGGGAGCCACTCGAATGTGGCCAGAGAGGTCAGTTAGGTACCAGCCGCTCATGTCTTGTATCTTCAAGAAAACACACAATCATCGTTATTTAGGAAAAACAAAAGTAAAAGTCATATCCTTTTCTTTCTCTTCCATATTCCGTATAGTGTCAATTTTTTGGAAATAAAAAAACCCCTAAAACTATAAAAGTTTAGAAAAATATAAGAGTTGTGGAAAATATGAAATTTATCATATGTACTCATTATAGATTCTCATTATTTTCTTTTTTTTAAAATTTTTTTTTTCAACGTTTATTTATTTTTGGGACAGAGAGAGACAGAGCATGAACGGGGGAGGGGCAGAGAGAGAGGGAGACACAGAATCGGAAACAGGCTCCAGGCTCCGAGCCATCAGCCCAGAGCCTGACGCGGGGCTCGAACTCACGGACCGCGAGATCGTGACCTGGCTGAAGTCGGACGCTTAACCGACTGCGCCACCCAGGCGCCCCAGATTCTCATTATTTTCTTGATAGTTCTAGGAGTTTGAATAGTAATACAGAATAATCTAGTTTTATTGATCCAATGCTTTAAAACATTTTTTTAGATGTTTTACTTGACATTTGAGAGAGAGAGAGCACGATCAAGGGAGGGGCAGAGAGGCAAAGACAGAATCTGAAGCAGGTTCCAGGGTCTGAGCTGTCAGCACAGAGCCTGACGCGGGGCTTAAACTCACAAGCAGTGAGATCATGACCTGAGCTGAGGTCAGATGCTCAACCAACTGAGCCACTAAGGTGCCCCGATCCAATGCTTTTAAGAAGTTATGATTCCAAATACTTCTTTCTTAAAAAATAGAAATTCATTCAAAGTTACACGATGACTATAATGTTATACAAATTATCAGACAATTGGATTCTCAATTTCATATTTTCCATTTCACTAATAATTTCCTGTTGCTTATGGAAAATAATATTTCAAAAGGTATTACATATATTTGTAAAGCAGAGGAAGAAAAGAAATACAACATGCAAGTGCATGAAAGGTAGCTTTTCATTTAGTATTTCCAACCTTCCCCTTAATTAAATTTCGATTTTGAGGCTTGAGAACATTTGAATCCACCAGCCTGTTGCTATGGCCACAGCTCAAAATACTATACCTAGTCCTTCCCATGGGGTCAGAGTACTACAGAAACTCATAGCCTAGATCCTTGTCCCAGAAAAGGAAGGAGCCTTAAAGGAAAAATCGGAAACACACGCGGTGATTTGTTTTTCCATCTTTAGACTCTGGCCAGGAGTGGGTATACAGCTACAATTCTAATTTAGACTGTCCTACCTAGCTGGCACAAAACACAAGATACTGAGCTTTGTGGCTACCAGGGGCCTACTTAGATGTGTGTGAGTGGCTTGGTGTTGTGGGTGATGGGGAGCAGAATAGTGATGATGATAATATGTGCATGAAGTGTTTTTAATTTTTTTTTTCATGTAGAGGTCATTTGATTCTCCCAAAGCCATGCAGTTGCTGGAACTTCCATGGTCCAAAGAGAAAGACCAAATAAAAACGTACTGGCTAGTTAGATCTTCAGATAGAGGCTACTTACTTCCTTCTCTCCCCCTTTCCAACAGCATCCTTCAGGCATTCTAGGACAGACCAGTGAGATTCAGAGGAAGTTCTTACCAGAAAGCTGACTGAAATAGAAATGTCAGTGGACCTAGATGCTGAACACCAAGGCTGAGGGCTACTTCTGCTCTTCCGCTAATCACGAAACTTTGATACGTTAACGGAGCAGTCTAGAGGGTGGAGTGAAACTCTACAAACAGAGGAGGAAGTGGGCTAGAGATGTCTATTTGCTGTTGGTTCTATGCAATCTGCTCTGGAGGCAATATATTTGATGATGTATGGATTCAAATTCAGAAATGAGAGTACAGTCAGAAACTATTCAAAATATTACAGCGGAAGGAGTGGTTGAAAGGTAGTTCCTTGAAATAACGATCTTTGTAGAACACAACTCTGGTCAAATCACTCCCCTGATAAAAATCCTCCGGTGGCTCTCCAAGTATAAGAATCCAACTTTGCATTCTCAACCCCAGGTGGTAGACTTTCTCAATCTCCTCTAGGCTTCTCTCTCTGTAGCTTGTTTCCTGTCACTCTGCAGTCTTAAGAGCTGCCACACAGGCTATTCGAAATTCCCTGAGGGTCCCATTTTCCTCTCATACCTCCTCTATAGAGACACAAACCACTGTGAAGAGTTGCAAAAGCAATGGGGAGCAATTTTTCTTAATTTGTATATCAAAAATATTGGTGAATGGAATACATAATTCTTCATATCACAATCTGATTCCTTCTCTCTATTGAATCATCTGCCCCTGGGGCTATATAACAACGTTAATTCCATTACTGCCTCACACAGTAATCATGGACACTGCAAAGGCTAATGTTTGTTATTTCTAAGAGATTCCAGGCCACACACTGCTACAAATAAAACCTTAAAGTCTTTGATCAAAGGTACGCAAATAGCATTTGAAAGAATATTCCATCACTGTTTCGTGATAACTGTAAGAGGAACTTACTACCAGAAAAAAATGTTTAATTTCTTACAGAAAGAACAATAGCAAGGAGGGCTGTGGAACTGTGTACAGAATGAAAAGGCTATTGCTTACATGGCCATAGGTCCAGTAGGAGCTCTGACATCTGTTTGAAACCCCTGAACAGAAACACTCGTCACAACCTTTATGATTATCCTCTTGCAAGTTGAAGAAGCCGGATTTACAGCGACTGCAGTCCCCACCTTCAACATTCTCCTATAAATAGAAACACAGGTGCCCTTCAAGATTAAGGACTGTCTTTTTAGTTCCGTTTAGGGAAGATACACTGTGTATTTTTCATTTTACCTCTCAACCGAATTTAAAGTATAATGATATTTTAAAAAATCTACTCAAAAGCTCCTTATTAAGCTATATCTTTTTGAACCACACTGATGGGAAGGGATATTGGATACTAATCTGTTGTAGTAAAAGCTCCAATTTTGTTCTTCACGTATGTCAAGAGTGTGGAGTAAATACCACTATAAATACAAACAGCAAGCCATACTGACTAAAATGGAGTCAGTCTGGTTCACCATTCTCTGTTGTTGAACTACTTCTGCTTAGAACACATGATATATGATAAAATTAGAGAATTAAACTAATGGATGTATGACAGACTGTTGATATTATACTGATGGCAAAACCCTTTCTACGTTACATAGTAAAAATTCATATATTTGAGGCAAGCATAAGAACCTGGCAAGGAGAGAAACTGGGGTGAATGGCCATAGATTCCCTTGATGGGACTAAGCAGAAAAAGAGGAAAGTTTTGCTTGGTTAATTTTCACAGTGTTTCCCTTAATGCATTGGAGTAGCCAGTTAATCATATAGTAATATTGTGGGAAAAAAATGAATCTCGTTCAGTGACTGCTCAGATTGGTATCATTAATTCTAGTCCCAATATCCTGAAAAATTTTTTGTGTATAGATGGGCCTCTCTACTGTGGACTCGGGCCAGAGAAAGCTGATTATCTGATGAAAAATGGGGAAAGCTGTAATTTCTCAATGAAAAGAACAGTTAATCTTGACTAATAACTTCTAAATAAAGGCTCCTTGCTTTCTAAGAAACATATTCTCAGTATCCTTTACACCTGCATTGCCTCCATATCTTTCCTCTTCTTGAATTCCCTCATTACCTTAATTCTGAAGCTTCTTCTCCTTAGAGGTCTTCTCTCTCAACTGTGTTCCCATAGCCCTTTATACATTGCTCTATGATAACCACCAAAAAAGCATAGCTATATCTTCCAGGATTGTTCACTTCAGTTGTATACCATAATCTATTCAGAGGTAGAAACCTTATCCTACTAATTTTTATAGTATCAGAAAATGGTACAACATGGAGCACTAACTAAATAAAATTTTATTAAACTTAAATGAATCTCTTGGTGGTTGTGTTTTTCATTCACACAAGGTGCTATGCATATAGTAGATGTTTAATAAAATTATTTTTGAATAAACCCAAATTTGGCAGAAGATAGGGTTGATAAAATCTGAAAACATAGGAGAAAAAATAGAAGAGAGGTCAAGAAAGAGTGTGAAAAAAGTGAACTTTGTAAGAATAAACAAATAAAGTAGTTCTCCTTGTATCCAAGAGAACAATGCATTTGAAAGTCACTTTTTGACTGTTAATTTTTATGACCCACTTGGGACCACAATCACTTCTATATTCCTGGGAACCTAAACAAAGGGGTGTCTAATGGCCTGTGTTCACATGTCAAATTTCAACGTCTTGATATATACACAAATTGAAATCATTGCTACTGACATTCTTTCCAGTTTTTACTACTAAGGTAGATTTCAGATATTTTGAGATAATAAATGTCAGCAAAACTAATCAAACTAATTTCAGACCTGTAGTGACAAATAAGTCCCCAAAGCCCTGAAGCTGGGAGACTCTTCAGAAGAGTACACAGGCAGGAAAGATGAAATATCACTATAATTATAATTTAGCTTATCCCATTGAGGACACAGTGCAGCTGTTCTGTGCACTGTGTTCTCGTGCACTTGGTCTAATCTACTTTTCGTTTACTCTAATTTGAAAGCTTGTACAACTACTTCTCTGAGATTCAGACTGAGTTCGACAATTTGAAATTTTCAGACATTAGTTACATATTCCTGATTTCTATTTAACCTGGTAAAATAACCTTGAAAAATATGATTAAATAGTTTCAATATTAATTTATGAATAACCAGAAGCAACATATTAGAGTAGGGATTCTAGAGACTATAAAGATGGATAGGTCAAGGTATCTGTCTTTATTTATTTTAATATGCAATTTATTGCCAAATTGGTTTCCATATAACACCCAGTGTCCCTTCCAACAGGTGCCCTCCTCAATGCCCATCACCCACCCTCCCCACCCTCCCACCCCCCATCAACCCTCAGTTTATTCTCAGTTTTTAAGAGTCTCTTATGGTTTGGCTCCTGCCCTCTCTGTTTTTTCCCCCCCAATGTGTGTGTCTTTAAAGGCCAACATCTAGAGCTGAGTAAAATGATACATTTACAATCCACCAGAAAGCAAGGCAGAATAGGATCATGCAACTCATTAATCAATTAAATTATGGGAACACAGAAGGAGGGATTAATTGTGCCATGAAGGCTTGAGGATGCTTTGTGGCAGGAGTGAAATTTGACCTGAATTTTGAAGCATGGTTTAAAAATTCAACCTATTGGAGGAGATAAAATGAGAGACCCATGTTAGCAATGATATTGGAAACAATAAATAATTCAAAGAGTAGAAGGTTCATTCATCATTTATGCTTTCAGAACAAACATACTGGGGGTGCCTGGGTGGTTCCATCGGTTAAGCCTCTGGCTGTGCTCAGGTCATGATTTCACAATTCTTGAGATCAAGCCCCACATCAGGTTCTGTTTGTGCTCACAGCTCAGAGCCTAGAGCCTACTTCAGATTCTGTGTCTCTGTCTCTCTACCCTTCCCCCACTTGCACTCTGTCTCTCTCTCTCTCAAAAATAAACATAAAAAAATACTGAATATTTCTGGATGCAAAGCACTGGTTGGGGACTTGGCTTCCAGTGTCCCTGCCTGCATATGATGAACTTTTAAGGCTACTCCTGAAGAGATAGGGATCTTTTCCCTTAGGAATTAAGTTATTCAGCAGGAGGTAAATTACCAGAACTATACCTGAGGCACTTAAGTTGGCAAGAACCGGCAAAATGGCTATGAAATGGGAAACACTGGTACAAAGAACTCTCTCATGGTGCAGTAAAGGGTTAATTCAATACATTTGGAGTGCTCAAACCCTGAAGATACTGAACTGAAAAGACTGTCCCTTGACCAGCTCCTGGAAGACAACCTATAAGCTCTTGTAATATTCTGTGTGATAAAAATAGCTTTGTATACCCAGGACCAGGGGTCACACCAGATAATTTATGCTAACAATTGATTCATGGTGAATGTCTTCTGTTGTTTGCCTGGAACCCTGCACCACATTTATTAGCTCACAATGCAATTTATGGTGAATGCCTAGTTTTGTCCACCAGACGCCATGAGCTACACTGTATCTCTAGGAGTACTGGAGACTGGTCAGTCATATGAGTGCTCCATTATCTGTGTAATTGACCTCCCAATAAAAACCCTGAACAGGAAGACTTGGGTGAGTTTCCTTGGTTGGGAATACTTCCTAAGTGTTGTCGTACATTGTTGCTGGGAGAAATACTCTCTGTATGATGCAACTGGGAAGGATAACTGGAAATTTGCACTTGGTGACTTCTAGACTCTTCCCTATGCTCCTTTGTCCTTGCTGATTTTAATCAATATTCTTTTATTGTAAAAAACCATTACCATGAGTGTAACAACTTTTCAGAATCCTGTGAGTCCTTCTAGTGAATCATTGAAAATGAGTGTGGTCTTGGGAAGCCCCAACACACTGTGGTAAAAATAATAGGGTGATTATACCTGTAAAAACACGTTACCCAAAGTAATAGTTTCTTTTGTTTATTGTGACAAATCTTCAAGCCAAAATATTTTAGACCTTTTTACAGGTCCTCAAGCTAATCCTATTCTATACCCTCATGCTCACTTCAACCCTCTTCACAAGTAATGATCCATTTCTATAAGATTTGAATAGACCTTATTTACGATTGCACAGCATGTCAGCTTATTGCCACAACTTTAAGTTTCTAGACTCCTACTTGTTTAGTCTTGAGTCTACACCATATTTTTTTCTTTAGTGAGTGATAGCTCCTATTCAGATGGAGCTTGATTCATTCGATTGAAAAGTGCTTGGTTCTGATTGTTCTCAGGTTCTTCAACAGATAAATATTAAGCCAAAAGTAAATAGTAAATATGGTGGATATAGTACCTACTTATATATGTGTCCTCATGGTCTAATTAAAAGGGCGTTTTGAGGCTGGAAGGAAGACAAAGTATTGGTGACAAAATATTTTTGATCATCAGAACTCTGCTTTCAGGTCATGTCTCAACTTGTATAGAATTAATTAGTTATATTAGGTTCTACTTCCTTTTTCCTTTTCCAATCTCCCTTGAGAGAGTATATCTAAGTAATGTCTTATTTAAGGATTGTGTTTCCAAAGTTTTCTTTAAAACAACATAAGCTTCAAAACAGTGAATACTAGAAGAAATCACAATTTGATATTTAATATATTTTAAAGGGGCACAATTCCAACACAAAGGTATAGTGTTACAGGACTTATATTGAACCTTCATAGAGACAAGTTCCCCACCTTCTGGTAGCGTGCTAACATATACAGTCTTGACCGCTTGGGTCTCAATTCTTTTTATGGGTTCCCAGGTACATAATTGCTTTTTCAAAACTTCTTTGTTATTCATCAACAATGCCATCCATGAAGCAGCCCTGATTGTAGTCTTGATTCATTTTTGGAAGATTGTTTTGATATGAATGGTCCAGGACTTAAATTTTTGATTCTCAGATTGAGAGTGAGTCATTTGCTTTATGGGTAAATTCCTTGAGCAATTTAATTCACTATGGTGTCAATATTGCATTATTAAAACTTCTATCCATTATTTCTCACTATTCCTTTATTTGCTATTATTACTCACTCATTATCAAATCATGGGTGAGCTACTACATATAAAGCATTATATGAGAAGCCAGAGGAAATAGAAAAATGCCTTCAGGAGAATTATAGCAAAGGAAGTAAGAGTAAGGGGAAACACGTTGACTACAAGGTAGAAGGAAGTCCCTTCCCTAAAAGGGTTACTGAGTATTTGCCCT